TGACGCCCTCCCCTCAAGCCCCTTGGCGAGCCCTCCTGGGAGGGGCGCTGGAGGTGCGGCTTCCCTGAAGCCTGACTACCAGGTCTGGGACTGGCCCCCGGGAAAGGTGGGAGTCTCCCCGCGGAGGCAGGCCCGGGTGACCGTCGTGCTCGGCACTGACCCCGCTGCTTGGCCGTCTCGTAGTCCGCCTTGCACACCAGCCGGCTGTCCTCCATGAGGTAGAACTCGTCGCCCGTAGCCAGCTGTCGCTTGCACACGACACAGGCGAAGCAGTGCAGGTGGTACACGAAGTCCTGCGCCCGGCGCACCACCTGCGTGGGCGGGATGCCCAGCTGGCACGCGGCGCACTTGGTCCCGAAGCGCCTGCAGACATAAGGCGCGGCTCAGCGTTTCGCCCGGAGCGGGTCGAGAGCCGCGGCGCCAAGCCTGGCGGGCAGCGGGGGAGGTGGGCCTGGGAGGAGGGCTTGGACGGCCCCGCCCCTGGGTCACCAGTCTGGCCGTCCCCTCCTACTGAGAAGGGAACCTCAGCCTCCCTCTGGAGGGCCCCAGGGTACACAGCGCTCTTCCGGCCGTCCTGCGCTGGATCCGGGAAGGCGGATCCGGAGGGAAAACCCCACCAAGGATGGCTCCCTGGGACCCCCAGACCTAGCCGGGAAGGCTGGTGGGTCAGACCCATCCCACCCCCTGCTCCAGCATCAGGGACAAAACACCAAATCAAGAGGGAGTAAGTCCAATAAAATCCTACAAATTTGGGTTTATCTTTTTTTTTTAAACGACCGCTTCCATTATTTAGGAAATATATTACTTTTTTTTCAAATAATATTTGCTGATGTCTTAGCTGGGAGCAGTCACCCAGGGAGCGTCTATGGAGAGGCTCTCCCAGGGTGCCCTGCCGGGGTGATACCGGGAGACACAGGTCTCCAGGGCCTGGGACTTGGTTATTTGGGGAGGCTGGGGAAGTGTGAGGGGAGCTGCACTCCTGGCCTCCCTGAGCCTCAGCCCTTTCCCTCTCACTCCCTCCTTCCCTCCCTGGCCTGCTGGGGTGGCGCTCACTTGAAGAAGTCGTCCTTGCAGTAGACACTCTCCCCGCGGCTGAAGCAGCGCTCGGCCAGCGGCGTGTGGCAGTCGCTGCACTTGAGACACTTGCTGTGCCAGTGTCGGTCCAGGGCTTTGAGGATGAAGCGGTCCAGGATGTGCTGGTCGCAGCCGGCGCACAGCGGGATCTCTGGGCATGAGGAACCACCGGGTCAGAACATCATCTCCCCACTCCAGCCGGAGCCAGCCTGCCCTCCTGGCCCCAGGACCCCAGCTGCTGAGGGACCCCCCTCTTTCCCTGCACCAGCCTGAGTGGCTCCCCAGATTCGGAGATTGCATGGGCACCGCATCCTATGACCTGCAGCAGCTCGGGGAAACTTGACATTGGCTTAGAAATGTGTCTGTGCGGCTGGGCATGGTGGTTCAGGCCTGTAATCCCAACATTCTGAGGAGCTGAGGTGGGAGGATCACTTGAGCCCCGAGCTCAAGACTAGCCTGGGCAACACAGTGAGATTCGTTTCTATGAAAAAATAAAAAAAATTAGCCGCGTGTAGTCGTGCATGCCTGTAGTCCCAGCTACTTGGGAGGCTGAGGCGGGAGGATCGCTTGAGTGCAGGAGTTCAAGAACAACCTGGGCAACATAGTGAGATTCTGTTTGTACAAAATATCAAAAAATTAGCTGGGTTTGGTGGCGCCTGTAGTCCCAGCTACTTGGGTGACTGTGGTGAGAGGATCACCGGAGCCCAGGAGGGGAAGCCTGTGGTGATCTGTGATCATGTGACTACACTCCAGCCTGATGAGGGAGTGAGACCCCGACTCAAAAAAAAAAGAAAGAGAGAAAGAGAGAGAGAGAGAGAGAAAGAGAAAAGAAAGAAGAAAGAGAGAAAGAGAGAGGTGTTTGTGAGCAGACAGCAGCCCGGGCCCCTCCAGGAGGCTGATCACATCAATTAAATGTTCCAGAATGCCAAGAATTGCTAAGAAATGTTCCAGATGCCAAGTAGGGTACACTGTGAGCCCAAATGGAAACCGCATCCATGGTGGTTTGCTCTTGAGAGCCGGGTAGAGAGCAGAGAAGCAGGTCCTCACCATTACTGGGACACGGGGCACCCAGCCTGGACCTGCTACACAACTTGCACCATCGGGCGTCATGGCTGCCTTTCCTAGAGACTCCTTGAGTGTGACTGCCCAGCCAGTGGCCCTGTGTGCAGCCTCCAGGGTAGAAATCAATGCCCGCCCATCTCTGAGTGGCTTAGGAGTATTTATGAGTGGCCCAGACCAGTGAACTCGGCTGTCCTGGTGCTCGGGCACAGGTGAGGACACACCCTTGTGGTGGCCAGAACACCCGGGCCCTGGCCGCTCTGCCCGGGCACTTCGGCGCTCTAGGGGACCCAGGCTGGGGAGTGCGAGGGTGCCCCGCGGGGGCCGGGAGCCTGTGTGTGGCTTTCCCAGGGCTGGCGGGTTGAGGAGTCCCTGTTCATTTAGAGCGGGTCAGAGCCCAGGGAAGGCTCTGGGACCCTCTCAAACATTGCGCCCACCGACCTGAGCTCAGCTCCCCAGCAGCGGGCCCCACAGGCTCCAGACTGGCTCCCGGCGGGTGGGAGGAACTGGGAAGGGTCTCCCTTGGCCCCTGGACCGGAAAACGGGGCTCCAGCTCCCCCCAGGGACAAGAAGCCCGCGATGGACTCCGCCCCGCGTCTGGCAAAGCCGCTATCCCTCACGACCCGCCGCGGGCCTGGAGTCCTTGTGGACGGCGAACGCAGCGCAGAGAGGACACCGGCATGAGGACACAGCGCCGGGGGGCCGGACGGGTCCGCGCTGCGCGAATTCAGCACCGCGGGCCGGACA